AAACTTTTAAAACTTTGGCAAGTCTATGCAGAATTTTAATGAAAAATCAAATGAAACACTGCAAATGTGACTTTGACAATAAAGATCCCTCCTCCTCCAATAATGGCGAACCTGCCCTAATATTCAAGCACACTGTAGAAATTTTTTTCCAGAAGACGACTTGTGAGATCAAAATTGAAGCCCCTCATTTTGCCTTGAAGATAATTATCAAGGGCATTTTATCACTGCAGAATCATAAAATAATCATTTTATTATTGCAAATTACTTTGGTTCATGACAAGATTCTTTGCCATTGTTGTTCCACTGTAGAATATATCCCATAAATTAAGAGGAGCTTAATTAAAATTTTATAACTGTTGGAATATTTTCACTGCCTAGAAGTTTGCTAGAGGAAAGCTTTGCTTGTTCTTCTAGAGGATTAAAAAGTTTTAATTTCCAAAAATTTGCCATGGCTGATGATGTCATTGGCCTTGTCTGGCATAAGCTAAAGCAACAAAATTTCAGAAAATATATATTCCATTTTGGGAATACATTAACACAACAATTTCCACTTCTGGAGTTCTAAGGAGGAAATATACAAAAATTGCATCCTCCCACATCCCTTGGAGTGTCCACTGATGCTACTGGGATGTTAGAATTCAAATCAATGTTCTTTGTGAAGCTATAAGAGAAAGAATGATGAGCAAGGAATGAAAATAGGCACAACGACGTGATAACAATGGTTCAGTAATGAGGTAAGACTTCACAGGACAATCTGTAGCAACCCAGAGCAGCATTGAGAGATGAGATTTTCATACAGATGAGTCAAACAGAGGCCAAGATTGAATACAACACACAGGTTCCCAAGCAATACAGAAGGTTCTAGTAGTGCCTCCAACAGCATATGGTTGTTCTGACAAAGCTAGGTGGGAGCTGGCCAAACCCCAGCTGCCTCAATTCATGGAGGAGGAGCTGTGATCTTCAATTCAGAGAAGCACCTGCACAAGAAGGTGGCAGATTCCTCCTTGTACAAACTTTTAAAAAGTAAAAATGCTTCTGCAAACAAAATTTTATGAACATAGTACCACTATCAGATCCTGGCCAGAGACAGTAGTTTTATAGGCCGGAGGAGGATGCTGCACCCTTTTCAGATCACCTGATGCTGCTGATGGTGGCCAGGGCTGAAGCCAACTGTGGATGAGGCTAGGAAATAGAGGGAAAGGTAAACCCTCTCCTCCCCCCCCCCTTTCGCTGCCTCTCCCCTTCCAACTCAGTGAAGAGAAGGGGTAGGTTGTCCTTGCAAGAGTAAGAATTAATCCTTTGTGGAAGGGTTTTAAAATAGGACCAAACTCCACATGAAAACAGCCCATGGGTTGCAAGTTGCCTACTCTTGCTGTAGGGGTTGGAATGCCAGACTAGGGACGGAAAGACTCAGGTTCCTGTCCAGCTCCTTCCACCCCCTTCCCATGTTACTGTTAACTAAAGGTAAAAGGTAAAGGTTCCCCTTGACAAATTTTTTGTACAGTCGTGTTCGACTCTAGGGAGCGGTGCTCATCCCCGTTTCCAAGCCATAGAGCCAGCGTTTGTCCGAAGACAATCTTTCCGTGGTCACATGGCCAGTGCGACTTAGACACGGAACGCTGTTACCTTCCCACCAAGGTGGTCCCTATTTATCTACTTGCATTTGCATGCTTTCAAACTGCTAGGTTGGCGGGAGCTGGGACAAGCGACGGGCGCTCACTCCATCGCATGGATTCGATCTTATGACTGCTGGTCTTCTGACCCTGCATCACAGGCTTCTGCGGTTTAGCCCGCAGTGCCACCACGTCCCTTACTGTTAACTATTTTTATATAATTTTGTGAAACTTACAGAATTTTTATTTGTTTGTTCAGGATTAAAAATATGTTTACTAGAAAGAAAAAAGAGATGGAAAGACAGCAAGCAAGCATTTGCATACAAATGAAAAGAAATCTTTTCCCAAATAAATTCTTAAAAGGGAAGAAAGAACATGTCCACCAAGAAATTCTAATCTGATTTATTGTAAATTGAGCCAGCCAATCCTGTCTGATCCTTGGGAAATACTTCAGCTATTTTAAACCCTGCTGGACTTTTTTTTTCTGAAGAGTTTCTTCTTTGGCCTTTCCCATCTATGTTCAGATAGATCACTCTACAACTTAAAAAAATGCCTTTAAAATAATTCCCAAGAGAGTTAGCCACAGTCTGTTTCAGGAAATACAATATAGCAACAAAAAGAAAATAAAAGCAGAAGTATTGTGCCATCTTTAAAAATAACAATTTAATTTCAGTGTGACCTCTTGTGAATTATAATCTACTTCTTCAGACACAACGTCTGTAAATTGAGGGTCCACTGTACTGTATGGGCTGCTCATGGACAGTACTGTATAGGTAAGGATACTGCTACCTTATAGAGCATTGTGGTGTAGTGGTTAATGTGCAGTATTGCAGTGAAAGCTCTGCTCACAAAGTTCAATCCCAGGCAGCCAGCTCATGGCTGACTCTGCCTTCTGTTTTTTTGAGGTTGGTAAATTGAGTATTCAGTTTGCTGGTTGGGCGATGTGTAGCCTGCATAATCAAACTGTACACCACCAGAGTTTGCTTTAAGTGCTATGAGGCTTTATAGAAGCAGTCCCCTAAAGTGCTCTTCTTACATTATACATATCTATACTGCCGAACAGAGAGAGAGGCGCAAACCAGATCACTATTTGCAATAATTCACAGAACCTCTGATTACTCTCTACCTGTAAAATCCTGAAAAGGGTCACCATAAGTCAGAATTGACTTGATGGCATATTATTATTATTATTATTAAGCAATTTGGTCTCTAGTTCTCTGCCCCTACAAATCCAGCTTGTACTTCTGGGAGTTCTCGGTCCACATACTGCTGAAGCCTGCCTTGTAGGATTTTGTTCATAACCTTGCTAGTGTGAAATGAGTGCAATTGTACGGTAGTTGGGGCATTCTTTGGCACTGCCCTTCTTTGGGATTGGGATGTAGACTGATGTTTTCCAATCCTCTGGCCACTGCTGAGTTTTCCAAACTTGCTGGCATATTGAGTATAGCACCTTAACAGCATCATCTTTGTGATCAAATCTGGATCATCTACAGTGAAACTTAGCAGTTAGTCACTGCTTATTTGATATGGGGATGGCCTTTAGCTCAGCAGTAGATCAGCATGTTCAATCTATGTTATTTTCAGCCAAATAGATCAAAACGCAGGTCCTGAGCCCAGGGCTAGGGATTTAAACCCTCACTTGTCATTTTTTCACAGGAAAGAACAAGAAAAAATGTTATCCTCAAGTACGAGATACATTTAGCTAATATTGCTTAGAGTTCTCTAATATAATAATAATCATCATCATCATCATCATCATCATCATCATCATCATCGTCATCGTCATCGTCATCGTCATCGTCATTTATTCCCTAAATTATCTGGAATGTTGCTATTGTTATACAATTTAATTTGGTACAGCTATATGCCAGAAGATCTGCTACATAACAAAAACATAAAGCTAAGAACTGAAAACATGTTAGTTCCTCAGAAGTAACCCGCAGTGACATGACCTTGAGAGCATTCTCCCAAGGGAAGTAACAAGTGGAAAGGAATCTGCACATTTTACAAATTTTCTCTTTATCTCCACCTCACCCTAGGTTTTGGAATGCCGAACCTGATTAACAATTCTGAAACCTGCCTTTTTCTTTCTTTTTATCTATACAGTATTTTGGTGGCCTGGTATGATCTATCGCTCCTTTAGATTTTACTCATAGACCACATAGCTATGTTTCTGTTCCACTGAGAGCTAAATGAGTGGGCAATTATGACCCCCTGATTATGATGATGATGATCGGAGATTGGAGTATTCGTACACAAATACTAATACACCCACACAGGTGGACATAACTAGGGTCTGACCCCCCTGGGGTTGGACTGCCCACTCACCCTTCCGCTGCTGCTGCAGGCTCCATGCTGCCCTCCTATCTCTCCGAAGCTCTCCCTGGCAAGGAGTCTCGTCGTCCCGCCTCGTGCCAGGAGTGGCTAGTCAACAGCGAGCTCCAGAGTGATTGGAATGGAGCACGGAGCCCACAGCAGCAGCAGAAGGTGATGATCCTATATTTTCCATCAATTCTAACAACACAGTCAATTGCAAGGAATTGTGAAAGCAACATTTATAAGGCAGTGCTTTGGTCAGCCCTGAACTAAATGGAACAATGTCAGCTTGTTATACATGCAGGAAGAATTTTATGTTGAAAAGTGTATGGATGAATTCCCCAACCAGTTTTATTACAGGCCAAAACACTCATATACACAAGAAGGCTTGGTGCAATAAGTGGAAAGGAAAATGCCAGGGTCTCAGAAATAGAAGACAAACTCTCTCTGATGAAGTAGCAACTATGGCTCTCCAAAAAATTTTTGCCTACTCCCCCTCCCCCAGGTCTGCCCCTCTTCTTGCTGGTCTCTTTGGAAAATAATCTCAAAGAATTATTCTTTTTTTCCCCTGTTCTATAATATTCTAATCCTGAACAATGCTTCTGAGGATCAGAAGATTCTGCCATGTTCTCTCCCTCATCTATGAGGACTGAATCCTAAAGGAATTACTGAAGAACAAAAACATAATATTCTCTCAGTCTATACAGCTCCTATAAAATTAGAGTGGCTGGTGTAACGAAGATATATCAACACCCAAACTGAAGTTAGGAATTAACTGATTGCAGAACTACAAAATTAATACAGATCCAAGTAAGAGTTCAGCATCCTCCACCTGCTACTATTTACCAATGTACTTTTGGACTACAAAACCCACCATCCCCACTCTTGGCAATGCTGACTGGGAGCTGTAGTTCAAAACATTTGAATGGCATCGCACTAAAAGGCAGAACAGCACAGGTTAAAGCAATGATAAATATGTTTATTTAGATGTTTGCTTTGTATATCTATCAAGCATGATATATACATGGTATACACAATTCATTAAAAGCAATATGCTGAGTAAGCCCTTACCTTTTATATCTGCTTGAAATTGTCCTGGAAGTGTCCTATGGGGAAAAAAACAGGTTGGCATCCTTTTTAATATACTGAACAGCCAATTTAAAATATAAATGAAATGAGATAAAATCAGAATGAAAGGAATACTGATTTAAGTGGCCAGAAATGCCATTTTTGATATTACTTTATCAAAATAAACTTGTTCTCATTTCTGTTATTCAGTCCAGTGTTCTAACCATCACACCAGTTCTGAAGATTTCAGAGCTGTTGGCTGAAATCCTGTTACTTAGTATAGTAAGCTACAACTAGAAGTTGACTCACCAAATACAGTACACATTGATTCAATAGGTCTACTCTAGTTAAGAGTCACTACATTAAGTAACAGGATTTCAATTCAACAGCCTTTACTCATAAGAAAGGATTTGTAATCCACTGCAAAATCTCAAGGAATAGAGATAGAAATGTGCAAACCAGCTCATCCAAACTCCTCCTCTCTACCTGCAGTGAGAGGAGGACTTTGCATGCTGGAGGAAAGGGAGGGGCAGGGAAGGAGATTTAGGCTTGAAGATGCCCCAAGAATCACTGCGAGTCTTGTGACATCAAGCAAACAGAAAGATGATCAACTTTGTGCCTAAAAAGAATCACTTCCAAATTATTACTGTACTTAATGAGAAATCACTTCCTGTTCATAAAAAAGAAGGCAGTGAAACAAGCTATAAAATCTTCTAAGTTTTGAAATAAAATCAAAATAACATGAGAATACTTTAAAAGATGAGTGTGCATGGATAACGAAATCCATACATAACAACTGAAATCTATGAGTATGTCGCAACTAGAGTAGGCCGATTGAATCAGCGGGAGATTCAGTAAGTCAGATCTTCTATAAGCTCCATTGATTCAATGGGCCTGCTCTAGTTTTGTTACTTGACTTCAGCCACTAAAAGAGCAACATTTATTACAATTACAATTTTGAATATTATACTTAAATATTAATATACTTGCTTAATGACATAAGTAACCTGGCTCGTATGGAAGGAACCCCTGCCATCGTCCCAATTACCCCAGCCAGTAATAATGCCTGAAAGACTAAAATATTTATAATAAAGGATCAAGAAGTTAGAGGACATGAAACACTCAATAACATCCAGTATAAGAGAGGACTTTGTGATGTTGGCTACAAATTTGTCATCACCCCATAAGTGGCAAACCCCTCCCCCTCTTTTTTTGCCAAAGAATTTGGTTGAGAGGCACGTCCACCCCTCTGAAAATATATATCTAAAATCAGAAAACCCCATGACTGACCAATTTTAACCCTGCTAAAATCCACATCATGATGAAGTCACAAAGTATTAAAAGTCTGTGTAACACTCTCTGCCTCCATCATTTTCTGCCCCCCACCCACAAATCTCTCTCTCTCTCTTCATACTTACAACAATGTCCCCATCAGTCACCAGGGTTTTTTTACTCATCTGAAAAAAATCAGGGAATACATTTCCCCTCCTTTGGTCTTTTATTAAGCAGAAGGACACACAGTTTGCTTGCAGCTTGTTTGGAAAAAATATCCGGCAATTAGCATGCATCTACTAACCTCTAGAGACACTGGTCTCAAGCAGCCTTTCAGCTCTGTTTACTAATGGGAATTCATACCAATACATCAAAATTCAGCACTCCCACACAATTAATTAGTCACTGGAGGATTTTGGAGACTAAATTAGCTTTACATGCTGACTTTTCCATTGCTAGATAAACATTTTTACTGAATATTTTATTAATAAATAAAAAAATAAAATAAAAGCTTTCACACACAAACACATTGATGCTTTTCTACTAGAAGTTAACCATGCTTTGTGCCTTCTTTAAGCTTTAATAGAATTTCAATATAGCATAAGAGAGAGAAAATGAGACTAACCTAAAAGTATAGTGGGCAATATAGAAGTCAGTTTCCTGGCAGGACTTCCAAATGCCATAAAATGAATGGCATCAAAAGGTTAGATGGTTTAGTTTGAGGTGACTTGATAATGAACAGGTAAGGGATGCTCCAAAGCACTTTTTATTATTTACTGGCTGAAATCTTGTTGCTTAGCATAACTTTCAATCCATTCCTAAGCAGCAAACAAAAAGTCCCTGATATGATTCTTGGGGCTGCACACACACACATGCATCAAGCTAGCATGTGCCTGGGCCCTTGAGAACTAAAGCAAGGATTAATTATCTGCTGGTTAGGAATGCACTGAAAGTTATGGATTTATGCTAAGCAACAAGATTTCAGCTCTTAAGTTTTCCAAAGAACTAATGAAGGTTTAGAACGTAAGCTTTTGTCCATCTCTAGTTAAATCAGAATGGTGACTACCTGGATGGGAGATTGTGCAGGAACCCTATCATGCCATCCTTCAGGGAAGAAATGCAGTCTATAAGTATAATAAAAATAAGGAGTAGCTCTGGATAGGAATAGGTATTTTCATCCATTTGAAAAGATACAAGCCAACTAGTGCAACAGGTCTGGCGGAGCATGGAACCACAGAGGCATATTAAGTTCCAAATACCCTGAAGACACATCGTTTCCATAAAAGAATGTAAACTGTGAAGTGAAAAGGTTATTTATGGTTAAGCATCAAGTCACAGAAGATTGCTAATGAGGAAATTTTTCTACGCACCCTGTTGTGAACTTCAAAGGTCCTATGATCACATTTCAGAATTTAGTTGAGACACATTTACTCTTTTGGAGGAGAAAAACAAGCTTTTAAACAGAATGGCCGAAGCCCTATTGCATAGTTATGCTAGCAGAAGAGGAACTGTGTAATCAGCAGGGGGAAATGACAACTGAGTCACCGCTTGGATTCCTGGTCATTGAGCAAACCACCTAATTGGCACGCAACAAGGAACTGAAGTGGGGACCCATTAATTAATGGCAATTCACCAGTGAGTGAATTATGCCACTGCCCTTCCACTGGAATTAACTATGCAGCAGGATTTTGGCCAATAGATTTTGTAGAAACATCAAGAGAGAGAGAAGGGGCAGTGTGATGGTTAGGTTAAATCTGTCAGAAAAGAAGTAGGATCCTTTCCAACCACTTCATCTACTATATAGAAAAAAATTGCAAAGTTCACAAAATAGTTGAATGTTTTCTTCTAATGCAACTGGTAGCTCAGACATATGCCACATTATGAGACACATTTATAATTGTCTCTCAATAAGAATAATAAGAATAAGAATAACAACAACTTGCATGAAACTGTGATCTCTGACAGATAAATAGCAACTTCACCCCCCCAAAGAAACACTCAACTCTCAGAGGATTATATAATAGGAGAAACAAAATGACACAACTTTTCCCTATCCTGAACACACAGTGGTATTGCATTAGTGGAATTCTGAAATATCTGTCATTCAAATTTCTGACAGCACAATCTGAAAAGTCACTCCTGTAAAATGCTTTCCTCTTTTCTAGAAAAGTCACATCTCACAGTGAGATAATCTAAAATGAAATTTCATAAACAAATGTTATCAACTAGCAAGCACTTATTTGTACCAAATAACTGATGGTATATGAATGGTACCTCTACATAAACTGTCTAACTGGCCTAGACTTGCCAGGTTAATTTTTAAAAAATCCTCTTGCTGTGTTTGATTTTAAAGAGTTGCTTCCACCAAGGATGCTTCAGTTTCAGCTAAGCATGTGACATGCCTCAGTACTAGCCAAATCTGCATCCATATATGTGTCTGTGACCATACATGTATCCATATCCATACATACTCATAGTTCCACTGAGAGACCTGAATTTTGATTGAAATTCTGTCATTGTTATTGTCACTTATGGTGAATGGTATTACTTTTAAAAAACTACAAGCATGTTTTCCTGTATATGAATCCTGCTCTTAATGAAAACAATATGCAATTCATTCCCATTCAAAAATATTAAAATTAAAATATTTTGAGCTTCAGCTTGAATTTAGTGTGAGATGCGAGGCGAGGGGATAGAAGCACTCGCCGGAGTGTCGTCCTCCCTCCGGAAAGAACAGGAGGTGCAAACAGACCCGCTTGCATCACCCGTCGAGACAGTACAACGGGGAGCAGACACCCGTGAGTTAGAACGGGGGGTGTCTAAAATGACAATAGCCACTCAGACTGAGAGGGAAATGGCAAGAAAAGAAGAAAGGGGCAGAACCACGTGGAGGCAGGAATAGGGGATATAAAAGAAAGGAGGGACAATATACCCGGGGATTAGGAGTTAATATGGACAGAAGATCCATGGACCGGAAAGTATGAAAAGGTCCAGGTTCCTAGGGAGGAGGCAGACTACAGATGAAGGAAAGGCCTGCCCCCACAACCCTCGTATTGGGGAGAAACGGAAGCAGGTGAGTGGTGCCAGAGGCTGAAAGGAAAAAAAGGAAGCCATGGAGAGTGAGGAGAGTGAGAGAAGACCATGGAGACTGGAGGAAGCCCAGCGGACAGGGTTCCTGTCAGATCATGGGCTCTCTTACGAGGAGACAAGGACTCCTTCGATCCAGAGGGGAGAGACGAGGAGACAATACTGTTATTAGAATCAGGTACTGATACTTTGGACTTGGATGGCAGTAATCCTTTCACCAAAGGACCCAGAAACGATTTAGAATATAACCCGTTCACCAAAGATGTGAACGGTGGGACCCGTTGGCAGCGAGAGACAAGATTAGAGTTGACTCAGAGACAAGAGATTTGATGTTTAATGTTCCAATAAAACCCAGTTTTGATTTTGCAACACAGGAGACTTCGGTGTCTTTGTCGAAACCAGGAGAGGCCCTATTTGTACCCTCACATTTAGGGAGAAATGTTTTCTATAATTAATCTGGGCCTTATGATTTTGGACACTAATTTTGTAAGTGTTTTCTAACACCTCTGCAAAAGTTCCTACCCTCTTCTCTCATAGGCTCAAGAGAAGTATGAGAATTAACACACAATGCGTATCATTGCAGAACATGAGAAATCAATAACTGTCTCTGTTGCTACCTAGAGATGAGCAGAAAGGGAGAGCTCATCATAACCGGGCATTTAATTTTTTAATAATACCAGTCATGTGTTGAGTTAGCTGTAAGGCAGAGATTTCAATCTTTGATATTTCTGTAGGCTTAATTGCAGTTGTTTTGAGCCTTAAAACGCAGCGTGTCCTAAAAAGAAGGCTTTTCTATGCCTATGTTTTGGGTGGAAGAGTTGATCTGAAGCCTTAATTTGCGTTCCTGGGCAGATCTTCAGCTATAACTCTTTCTCAAAAGGGATGGGCAACCTGTGACTGCACATATACTGCTGGACTCCAATTCTCACTCGCACCATGCAGTATAATGGTGCAGGGCAGTAATGGCGAACCTATGGCATGCGTGCCACAGCTGGCACACAGAGCCCTCTCTGCGGGCATCGCTAGATCACTATCCCCTAGCAGCTAAACCTGAGGAGGTGGCTGCAGTCACAGTGCTAGCACCCCGACAGGCGGTGAGCCAGGATCTGGAGCAGCTGGCAGTTGCAGGCTGGCCAAGCTATAGGCAGTGGAGAAGTTGGGCACAACTGGAGGTGGATCTGGAGTGGGGTTTGGAGGCACCTCCGTGCCTGGAATTCCCCCTTCCACTGCCGCCACCACTTTTGCCCCCCCCCCGGGTTTTGTTTGTTTGTTTGTTTGTTTTCAGTTTGGGCACTTGGGCTCAAAAAGGTTCGCCGTCACTGGTGTAGTCTTAGTGAAGCTGTAGCCCCACAACATCCAGAGGGCCATTGGTTAGGCATGAAGGATTGTTTTCTCTGATTTTTGTAAACCACTGTGAAGATAGCAGGGGTGAATTTAACACATACATACCAAACCAAAAGTTGTCCTCTCTTCAACCATTTATTGTTAATTGACTCTGAAGTTCACTGTAGCTTTAAACACATAGGTTCTCAAGTTGTCCGCTGTTTTCCAGACTTCAAAACCAAATCCAAAATACATTTTAAAATTCCCAACTTGATTTCTTTGATCTGTATGCTACAATTTTTTGTTGTTATTACTAATTCTAATTTAAGTGAATCTATTACTTCAAATATCTGTGCTGATATTCTGACTGGGAAAAGTCTGTTCCACTTTTCCATAGATTTTCTACTTAAGCCTTATAATATGTATCTCATGTTAAACATCTCACAAGAACCTTCCAGACAAAGAAAGCATGAATTATTGAAGTGTCTAAGTCATGTAGTAACTATAAATAACTGTGGTACCAACAAAAATGCGCTATTAAGGCAAACCACACACAAATCCCAGAAACTTGAGTGCTGCCCCCTTCTGCCCCCTTCAGTATGCTGCTGTATGCCAACAGTGAGCGCTACCACCCACAGGAAATGATTTAGGAATGCAGTTAGCACAACCACACGCCTGTTTTTAAAAGGCCATTATGTTAATGCTATCAAGAAAACCCAAAACAGAAAATGGTCATCAGCTATTTATTCAAAGCATGACATCTGAAAGACCCGTTCATCCGATTTAAACACACAAACATATACACACCATTATCAACTCTGTAAAGATGCAAGAGAAAAAGATTTCCAGTGTAGTTCCATTACTTAAAATACATCAAAAGACTTTATGACACATATTGTAATGGCTTCCTAATTTAAAGAATAAAACATTATTCTTATGTAAACAAACATGCAAAAAAAAAAAACCAGATCTAGTTCTCTGTAAGTTTGGATCCTAAGATGAAGATGAACTGGAGTAATCTGGGACCAACATATTTATGTGCAATATAAATATGCATGTTGAATTTAATCTGTTAGAAAGATGAGTGATCAAGAAATAATACTGAGATAAATCAGAATTCTTTAGCTCATTGTATCTAGAATCCTAATATAAACAGAAGAAAGTGGAAGGAAATTTTCCTGCCCTTCCTCCCCTCTAGAGCCACCTGTCTGAACCGCTTAAAAAGGGGTGGGTTGAGGTGTTTGACAGGTGATGAGAAGAAAAGAGAGCTGACCTATGAAGTTGCATACAGAATTAAACAAGACATACTTAAAATATTTAAATATAGTGTAATATTAAAAGACAGCTGGCTCATGAATTACGGGTACAAGGCAATGGTATAAGGCTAAAAGTACCATAAAATGTAATAAATATATACGCTTAAAATAATAAAAAGTCAAAACAACTAAGAATTTTAAAACCCAGAAGCATAAAACCATTGCCAAGGAGAAGATGCCTGGAATAGAAGATCTTAAGACTCTTTTGAAACAAGTGCCATGCTTATACAGCTGGAAGTGAGTTCTATAACCATGGGGCTATCACTAAGAATGCCCTGCCTCTTATGCCTCCAAGGTTAGCTAATTTTACTCACAGGTACTATATGTGAGCAGACTCTCTACATCTGATCTTGGCATCTAGGGTGGAAGCAATCCTTTAGGATCAGGGAGTCCTCAACTTTGATTCCTCAGATGTTGCTGAAATTCAGACCCCATTAGACTCACCAGCATAGCCAGGGGGGCTGGATTCTGGGAGTTGTAGTCCAACAATATGTGGGACCCACAGATTGGAACCAACTATTTCAGATAACCTGGTTGTAAGCTGCTTAATGTACCGATGTTTAATACCAGCAGTTTTAACTGGGCCTAGAGGAGAATAATTTTAAGAAACACTCCTACTCACTGTTTCAAAGAAATATTTTCTTTATAATGGGTATTACAGCAGAACAGCAGAACCTCAAAGTGAACAGGTCCTTAACTCTTGATGCTATCTTTTAATATTTGCCCTTGCCAGTTAGAACTGGAACTGACTGACTGAAGCTTGTTTAATCTACCAATTAAAGCCTGTGGGTCTAAGAAAACATCATCTGATATAAGACCAGTTTAGTCATTTGTATAGACAGATAGCTATGTGCATTCACAATACCTATCAAAATGAATGAGCATGAATATAAACAAAGTAGCTGGCACATGTATGTAGCAAAGCATTTATTACATTGAGAAACCAACCTTTGCAGAAATGTGTGCATAGTTCTACACAGATATTAGACACATAATGAATTTTAAGATAAACAGAAAGGTGAATGTGTTAAAACTCCTCACCTGCAATATGTATGAGGCACTTGGGTCTGCACTTGCTGATTCATTTTGCATTGTATTCTGTTGTGTAATTGCATCTTCCCTTTTGCGTTCCTTCTGTCCTGCTTCATCATCATCATATTCATCTAAACTCTAAAATAAAACATGAGATTCTTTTATAACTTACAGAAATTCAGAATACCACATACCACGTATGCACTTTGCAATCAGAATTCAATTTTCTTCAATACCATTTTCATGAAGTCTAACCCTGTAAATGGGAGCAAAACCCAGAAAACTCACAGGTACCATCTAGAAGTTCAGACTAGTAATTAGTTCTTCATCGCATATACATACAGGTAGGGGTGAAAAATGCCCGAGGGTCCAATCCAGGCTACTAATTAGTACTAAATAACTAACTTTCACCTTTCCTCTTCTAGTAATTAGTAAATCAAGCTCCTCATTTTTTAAGACAACTGTAAAGAAAAGGCAAAATAACTGGGGGAGAAAGGAGTTTAAGAGTCAAATAGTGTTACAGCCTGACGTGGTGGCACTGCGTGACGTGGTGGCACTGCGGGCTAAACCGCAGAAGCCTGTGCTGCAGGGTCAGAAGACCAAGCAGTCGTAAGATCGAATCCATGCGACAGAGTGAGCGCCCGTCGCTTGTCCCAGCTCCCACCAACCTAGCAGTTCGAAAGCATGCAAATGCGACCACGGAAGATTGTCTTCAGACAAGAATGCTGGCTCTATGGCTTGGAAACGGGGATGAGCACCGCCCCCTAGAGTCAAACACAACTGGACAAAAATTGTCAAGGGGAGCCTTTACCTTAGTGTTACAGCCATCTAGATTTCTCTTTTTTCTTACATTTCACTATTTTCTCACACTTTTTACACCACCTCTCCAAGAATGAAGTTTTCAAATATTGTGTGTCTTGTCGTCAGTTCTGACTTATGCGAACCCTCTGCAGGGTTTTCAAGATACTCAAAAGTGATTTACCATTCTTCTGGGAGTGCCCTTGGACTTTGCATGTTGCCTATGGCTACATGGGCTGACTCTTTTCCCAGGAGACACAATAGAGAATCAAACTCCCAGCCTCTGGCTCCGAAAACGAGATACTTAAACTGTTATTGCCTTATTGTGCTTTTTGTTAAATTCAATGATCTTTTTAACAAAAAAAGGGGGGTTCTGAAATAATAATTTTTTAAGGAAAGCATTGATATAAATTACACATCTGAGCTTATTAAGGGTATAGATTACATTCATCAGCATTTCAACACACATTAAAAGTTACCATAATCATGGTTCCTCCTAATCTTCTGTTATGGAAACTACAGAATATAAATCCCAGTGTACTGAAATTCCAAGATTCACAGTAAGACTTTGGTAACTGTATACTGTAGATGACCTTCACTCTTGCAAAAGAAAGTTAAAATTCTTCAGAAGACTATAGGAAGCAAATGTCTTCTACTAATTTATATATTCCAATTTGCTGTACAATTGTTTGGGGTACGGTAGCAGTAATACCTACTTAGTTGGTAGGACAATGCCCCTTTCTCAAAATATACTCAATTCTATTTGTACTCAGGAAGGTTTCTGAGTCTTAACTATATGATCTCCATACAATACTGTCTGAATCTTTCCTTAAGAAAATCCTTTTATGATGAATTTTATTCTTTGCATAAACTGTCAGCAGACTTACTCATAGCTGAGCAGTCTAAGCAGTACAGGTTTATGGCTTCTTTTGATTCCAGCTTACTGGATGCTTTGCCACAGCATTAGAAAACTAACAAGCTGATCAATGGCATACAATGTGACTTGGAAATTCAAGACATTCAAACATCTCACAACCTTTCATGTGATAATTAGCCATTTTCCTAATGTGAGCATTCCTCACATTACTAACATTCCTCAACAGCTGTTTTACTTCCGAAATACCAATATAGCCTTGCAATTAGTGGCTGACTGCCAATTTCCCTACTTAGCATTCCCCATCTCCTTCCTTTCACCATGTTCCCACTGCTCGGTTTTCCAATCTATTCCTCATTCATCTGACAATGATCAATCAATGCCACCTTACCCACCCTTGCCAAAGTTAGGAAGAAGTAATGCAGTGGGTCTTTCATTAAACTTTTCCCTAGTGTTTTTTTTTAAAGAGCACTATGCTGCTAGGAAAAATCACAACTTTTGTCCTTAAAAGGTCACTGACAAAGCTGAACTCACTCCTTAACATTTCAGGAAGTAAGAAAAATGGACAGAGGGCAGGTTCTGTACCAGTAACCAAGGCAGCCCCCCACCCTGTATGCTCCAAATACATATATAAATGGCAAAACTGAGTTTCCATCCTTCCACAAAAACCAGCAAGAGTGACTAATAGTAGGCAGCTTTACCTTCAGAAGTGACTAGAACATTTAATATGTTATACTGGTGAAGTAAATACCTTCGATGTGTGCTTCTATCAACTACAATACATGCAGCATACATTTAAAGCTAGGAAAAGATGGGTGGAGCAGGTTGTGAACAGCCAACAGCACCTGCTTAGTAAAGTGTTTTGGGCATAACAGAGCTGCCTCTTTTCAGAAAAGAAACACAAATAGCTCAGACTAAACGTTTTTAGACTACCAAGAATCTTCCAAGTCTGAGTAACTTTTGTTCTAATCCTTCACTGTTTCAAGTGTATTTAACCAGGCAGAGCAAATATTTTTCGTTCAGACATTCCTGCACTTTTTTATGTACAGAGGGCTCACTTTTGTGTACACAGTACATCTTTTAATGTTAGGACACATACTTGCAAGCAGTCCTTTGGACATGCAATATTCAAGAAAGATTCCTATACTTGATTTTCTGGAATGATGGTACAAATATATTGGGCTTGTTCCAAATAAAAAAAAATTGTATTATAAATTATTGTAAAACAGAGAGTGGCTCCTTTCCAAGAGCTGACTTTTAAAACCATGTCTAAAAATGTATGGCGACATGGTACAAATATATTGGGCTTGTTCCAAATTTAAAAAAAAAAGTATTATAAATTATTGTAAAACAGAGTGGCTCCTTTCCAAGAGCTGATTTTTAAAACCATGTCTAAAAATGTATGTTTTGCAGCACTCAAAATGGCGACAACTAAAATATGTAACTAATACACAAAAATAACTCAGTCAGAAGTCATATTTCCAGTCCAACAAACTAAGGTTTCTGGGACCCTCCTTCCTCATAAAGTCCAACTCAGAAAATGGTTTCACTCCCCCTAAAAAGCGGTTTAAAACGATACACTTAAACCACTGTTCACACTGGAGGCTGATCATTTAACTGGATTACTACCACGCCTTAGGCTACCCAGCCAGCCTGCTCCTCAGCCTGTTTTGAGCCACCTTAAGGACAAATGTATAAATGCTAAAAAATTCCAGCTGGGTCTGGAATTTTTAGCATGTATACATTACTGAAACAGCAATGTCTATGTTGGCTTGGGCATGTTGTGAGAATGGTTGATGGTCGGATTCCAAAAGATCTCCTGTATGGAGAATTAATGCAAGGAAATCGTCCCAGAGGAAGACCCCAGCTGTGATACAGGGATATCGCGGGATCTGAAGGCCTTAGGAATGGACCTCAACAGATGGGAAACCTTGACATATGAGCATTCAGCCTGGAGGCAGGTGGTACATCATGGCCTCTCCCATGTTGAAGAGACACTTGTCCAGCAGGCTGAGGCAAAGAGGCGGTCCCAAGACCAGCAAAATCAGGGAGCTGGACAGGGGACAGATTGTATTTGTCTTCAGTGTGGAAGGGATTCTCACTCTCGAATTGGCCTTCTCAGCCAGACTAGATGCTGTTCCAAGCCCTCCATTCAGAGCACGTTACTATAGTCTCTCGAGACTGAAGGATGCCTAATCTAAAAAAAGGACAAATGTTATTACTCTTTGTTACATTTAAATGTATTTTTCTCCTGTGCCTGCAGTGCTTTAACTTGCCATTTCCTTTGGAGATGAACAAAAATATTCTTCTATACAGGTCTTCCATCCCCTATTATTGGCAGCCAGTCACTTCCTGACTCAAGATCAACTTTTTTATTTTTATTTTTACACTTAGTCAACTGCACAGAGAGGAACTGGCTATTTTCTGCTTCTTCTGCTTGCAGCTTTGAGTCCTATACCTGTAAAGGAACATTGGGAAACAGGAGTTGTTTATGTTTATGGGGGGGTGTACGTATGTGACTTTCATTCAGCATTTCTAGCTCTGCTGGCAGGGCTTGACTGAATAATCTTTTCCTTCTCTATCCTGTATGTGGAGACTGCCTAAGGGAAGGGAGAATGAGCTATGAAAGAGGGGATTGCCTTTGCCAATGGTCTTGAATGGATCTAGACAGGCAGGAGAAGGAGAAAATGTGTTGGTGTGTGTGCATGTGAATGTAGGTGCATTTAATGAAACTCATTCTTGTGCCATTTTATGCCTCTTAAACCCAACTCCTACCAATGGATGCTCACAAAATAGCTCCCCAGAGAAATGAATTCTGTATCCCATTATTTTTTTTGGAGGAGAGGACTTTTGTTTGTTTATATTTTTTGGCTTGGGTTACAATCTTCTCTCTCTCTCTCTCTTAAAAGAAAATTCTAAACAGAAGATTGGAAGACTGTAATACTTGTGGCTTTGTCCATGTTTGTTTCCTGGCTGTTCTTCAGCATGGAAGTGAACACTTATCTTAAAGACTAATCTTACAGGTTGTGAAGGCACTGGGATGGGATATCTTCAAAGCTCAAGACTCTTCGAGCCTAGTTTCTTCCCAAAATGATCTGTCTGAGTCACCTAAAGCTGATTCCAGTCTAGGACAGGTCCCAAAAGTCTTTTACTACTCCTCTCCAACTATGCTTGCCATCTGAAAATTAACAGTTAGATTAGGCCCATGTAAATCAATGGGACTTACAGAACAGTTAACTCACCAACTCTAGAATTTACTGCACTAAGTAACAGGATTTTTGCCAAAAATGCTAGAAAAAGTGGAAGGTAATAGGAAATGAAGCTCACTTAACGTGAAATGGGCTGGCTGAATAAAGGAAATCACAGTCTTTAGGCTGCACGTCCTGAGAGAGTTGCCAAGTCCTGCAAAACAGTCACAGATTTGCCATGGTCAAAGTCGATGGTCCCAAAAGTCTCCTACACTCCT